CTTATCAGCCCACTTCCCTGTAATATGCAGCCAAGTGAATCAGAGGAGTCTGGGAACTTTTATGATCTCAACAGAGCAGATAGTTATTTGATGGGAACAGGGGAAAACAATGTCCTGCATACACCTGACTCTATTCTGCTGACCCTAATTAGGCCCTGGCTCCCAGTAATGACAGCTCCAGAGTCTGAAATCTGAAATCTCAGATGGCGTTAAATCAGATTGTCCCCAATCTTCCTGGAGGGCTGGGGACAGCCAGAGAAACTAATTAGTCATCTTATCAAGATGTTGGGGGGCAGGGTGATCTCCCCCAAAGCTATTCAAGCCACAGCCCCGATACTGGACCACTAAGATTGGTTCTTGAGGGGCTTACACCCCCAATACTCCCGTTCTGTACCTAGGAAAAGCCACCTGGCTGGGCCGCTGCTGCATACAGAGGATGAAAGACTGGATTATAACCCCATCAAGGAGGAAGGGGCCATACACACAGGCATCCACGTACAAAGTCACACAGATCCCTGGGTTCGCCATTCATGACCACCTTGTAGTGTCACAGAATGTCAGAGCTGGAATGGATCCTTCTAAAACTTTCTTATTTGAATAACAATAAAATTGCGGATGTAGCTCAGTGGTGAGCGCTTGCCTACCTTGCACAAGGCCCTGGGTTTTATTCCTAGTACTAAAGGGGAAAAAATCCAGACCAGAGAGGATCAGGGACTGGCAAGAGTTCATACATCTTACACCTTTAGAGCCAGGTAACACACTGTCTAGGCACCACATTGTTTAAAAAAGTACAAGTCAAAGACCAAATGTTGAAGTGACAGTAAAGGACATAGCACAAGGAGAACTGGGGCAATCAAGACAGACTTCACGGAGGAGGTGAGTCCTGAACCAATAAGATTGCACTAACATCCTGTATGTAGCTCTATGGCCTGAGTCTCAGTGTATATGTTCTCTATTTGATTGCTCACAAAAAATATCTATGAAATGGTATTTTACCTTCTCCAAAGGAGGAAATTGAGGCTCTAGGAAGCTAAGGTGCATACTCAGTATTACACATACTCTATGTAATAAAGCCAGTCCTGGGCCCAGAATTCAGTTATTTTTCAAGATACCCGTGTCTCCTTTACCAAAAGGTAGCCTTTGACTAAGGGTTCTGCCGTGACAATAGAAAATCTACTTAAATGAGGGAATGCTAAGGTGAGATTTCACTTGTTTACTGACTTCCCCCTTCAGAGTTCCCCAGAGCCTCAGACATTGAAGATGTATGTGTTCTTACTGCTGCTATAACAAGTTATCACAAAGGGAAGGGCTTGAAACAACAAGAATGGACAGTATTACAGCTCTAGAGGCCAGAAGGCTGCTCCGGCTTCTGGAGATCCATGCTGTCCTTCCTTTTTCAAAGCCCGCAGTCGCCAGTCAAGTCAGTCTTTCACGTGGGACACTGACTCTTATGCCCCCTCTTTCCCCTCTATTTTCCTTTTTGTTAATCAGTGCTTTTCAGTTAGACCTAATTGCGGGATTCATTTTGACATGTTTATAAATGCATAGAACAGAATTCKCTTCGTTCCAGTCCCCATATGACCCCTTCCCTCTCCTCTTCCCTCCCCGATTCCCTTCCTCTATTCCACTACTCTTCCTTCTATTAACTTTTTAACTGATGCACTGTAGTTGTACATCAAAGTGGAATCTGTTGTGGTCTGCTCATGCCTGCACATGGCACAGTTTGGTCAGCCCCCTCCCACAGTCCTCCCTTTCCCATCCCTCCTCCCTCTCCCTCGTTCCTCTTTCTCGACTCCCTGTCTCCCTTCTCTCTTCCTAGGACCACCCCCCCCTTTTTGAATTCCTTATTTCCCTCTAACTTCCTCATATAAGAGAAGACATCCACCCCTTGGCTTTCTAAACCTGGCTTCGTCCACTCAGCATGATGTTCTCAGTTCCATCCACTCACCAGCAAGTAACACATCTTCATTCTTCCTTACGGCCAAGTAAAACTCATTTTAAGGATCTTTGTGAGGACCCTTGGTCCCACCTAGATAATCCAGGATAATCTCCCTATTTCAAGGTCACAACACATTCACAGATTCTAGGGACAAGTGTGTGGACAACTTTGGAAGGCCACTGTTCGGCCTTCCACAGGACTTTTGGGGTCAATTTTAAAAATGTTCCATCATTGATCAATTCAATGCGAGGCAGGGAAGCCATCTAGGGAAGTCACACTCTGGGTTTTATCTAACTGGATTCACACGACCCAGTTACTCCATTGTTCTGCTCATCACTCCTTCGTCTACTTTTCCTTGGGCTCAACCAAAGCCACAGAAGTGTAGGTGGCACAGCAAGGTCATCTCTCTTATGCATCTGCTTCAGAAAATTCTGGAAATCCTAATCAGGCCTCCCCCACTCATCACCCATGCCTTTCCTAAGTCAGCCTCGGATTCTCGTTTCCTCTCACCTGGGCCTCTGTACTTCAACAGCCTCCTGACAAGACTCCTTCCTTCCTCAAGGCTGACTGGAATGCCCTTGTCCGGGGTCCTTGCCTAGGTAATTCCTACTGTCCAGTAAGACAGAGCGCATATTTCTTCTCCTGAAGTCTTCCGGGACCTTCCACTCGAGATCAATGGGGGGATTTTCTTCTGAGACGTGGGGACTGGCTTCTTCCTATCTTCTTCAGGAAACTGTGAACTGCTTAAAACCCAGGCCACGAATGACTGAAAGAATAAATCAGTAAATTCAGTGGTAAGGAATCTCCTGCCCTCTAGGACCCAGGAGAGTTGCTCTGTGTCTTAAACCCCATTCCACAGAAAAGACCAAGGAGACAGTGAGGGAGAGAAAGAATAGGGAAAAACAGAAAAAGGATGGGAGGGAGGGAGAGAAAAGAAAAAGGAGAAGAGCCTGTCCACCCTGTGCAGTGCCCCGAGTCCCCAGCTGACCTTGGGTCTTCAGATGGACCCGCAGGAATGCACGTTCTTCCCCAGGCCTCTGTCTCCCACCGGGTCACCAAGGGCGGCCCATCGTCCTACCTGCACCAGTCCTAAAAGCCCAAAGTACCACTTGGTCTCCCCAGCTCGCCTTTTAGGAACTTCTCAGTCATCACGCATCCCAAACCAATAAAAACAGTCAAAGGCACTCCTTATTTTACCTGTTTCTTAGGAAACGACCTAAACCGACCTCTTTCAAGTGAAGGTTTTAATTGAACCTGAAGTTCATGGGAGGAGTGGAGCGTCATCATTTATAAAGTCCCTGGGATTTGGTCAAAGTCAGCAAACACAAAGCCTCGACTTGGTGGGCGAGGGGCGTCTTTCATTACTGATCTCTATCCATTTTCCATTAATGGAGAACTTCCCCTGTTCCCCACGGTCTCCCACCCCCTCCCATCCCTTCATTAATGCTGACCACATCAGTACTCATCGGCCTTCCATCCTCTTCCACTGACTATACCCAGGGCCTAGCTTCTACGCTCTGGAAACTTACAACCCAGGAAAATGATATGATCTTGCACACAAACAACTGGAATTCCTAATAGCAATCACGCATGGCATAAAAATAGCACGGACAATAGACGCTCCAGGAGTTCGTGAAGAGAGGAATTTATGTCTGGTTTTCAGAAACCAGAGAAGGCTCTTGGGTGATGACAGACCCGAGGGGAACTTTCAGAACGCTCAGCGTTTCAGCAGACCCAGGGAAGGACAGCACCTCGGGTGGACTCCACCAGGGTGTGGAGGTGGGGAAAACTGGGTGTGTTCGCTTTGAAACTTTTCCTTTCATCCCTTGGATTTTATGGACCTGAATTCCAAGAAAAAGCTTTCCAGAAARTAAGGAGACAGACTGACCTTGTTCCAACCCGTCTTCTGGGTCACTACGAAAACCCCATGGGCAGCGCCACTTTCAGAAGTCTGACATAAATCAAGGCTGAGAGGATGAGGATGGCCTGCCCTCTCCCCCCTTTCTCCTCCCCTCCACCCCACTTCCCAGCCCAAGAGCAACAAATCACCCCAACTTCCCGCAGGACCTTTATGCAGAAAAATCACTCTACCCAGAAGACTGTCGGCCCCTGGTTTGCTTGGAACCACATGATTCGCCAGGCTCCATGAAGAGGCCGTGCAATCCCCTGGCCCAGACAGACCCCGGGCCTTAGAAAAGTCTTCCCATTGGTGAAGATGAGATGAGCCAGGCGGATCTTATCTTTCACGGCATCCAGAGCCGGTTTGGGCAGACCAAGAACTTCAACCCTGGTTTAACAGACTGAGATAACATTTGATGAACATTCTTTTCCTGCTGCCACTGATGGAAAAGATCTAAGAGGTGCCCCTCCCTGCTGAGGTCTGGTGAGGACCCAGAGGCCAAAATGCAGGCTGATTAACAGGCATCCCAAGCAGTGACTCAAACCATTCCTGATTTCAGAGGAAGCTCGTTACGGTGACTCCACAATTAGGACCTCAGCCCACGTGGCCTGTCGGTCCTGCAGGAAGCCAGACCAAGGACTATATAAACGTCCCCACCTGGCCTGGTTCTGCAATCCAGATCCTTGGTTGAGTCTCGTTGAAGACAGGTAAGTGGGGACATCTGTGCGCTCGCTCGCTTTTCCCCCCCCCACCGCCTCCCTCCTACTGAATCTTTGGGAAGCCCCTATCCTGCTCCTCCCTTGCAGGGTATTTTCTTCTGATTTTTGAAGTGGTTTGCCATTTCTTGGGCTTCTCAAACCATTCTGTTCCATCTAGTCTCTTTCACCTGACTCCAAAAGGATCAGTCAAGTTGAATAGAAAGGTAAGTTCTACGGGGAGACCAGGGTTTCGGGGTATGACTATCCAAACAAAAGTCTATTTCCAGCTTAGAGACAGGTGTCACAAGGAACTGAGACAGCGACAGAAAGAGAAATAAGGATTAATCATCATTTATTCCCCGACACCGTCTCAACTTTTTATGCCCCTGTTTCCAGTCTGGTACTTTTCATGCAGGGCATTTCAAAGCTTGTGTTTGTTTCAGGTCCTACAAATCACCCTAAAATGTCCTTCAGTGACCAGCAGTGCAAGCAGCCGTGTGCACCCCCTCCGTGTCTGCAAAAGACCCAAGAGCAGTGCCAGGCCCAGGCTGAGGTGGTGTGCCTCCCCCCACGCCAGGACCCCTGCCAAGAGAAGGGCCCAGCACAAGCTCAGGAGGTGTGTCTTCCTCAGTGCCAGGAGTTAAGCCAAGAAAACTGCCCACCACCAGGCCAAGACCCATGCCTGCCTCAGTGCGAGGAGCCGTGCCAGGAGCCTGCCCAGACCAAGTGTGTGGAGGTTGGCCCTCAGAAGGGGCAGGAGAAGTGCTCATCCCCTGGCAAGGGAAAGTAGCTGCTCCTACGCCATCTGGGGCCTGGAAGATGGCCCACAGAAAAAATCCAACCCCAGCCCCTGCTCTGGTGACCTTCTCCTGTGGGTGTCCCTGTGGGCCATGTACCCTCTTGCCTTCTGGCCTCCTCRGTATTCCAGGACTTGATCCGTGTCTCTGAAGACAGTTCTCTCCGTGTTCCATCAGCCTCCGTGAATGAGTATCCTTCTCGGCCGCTGTGGAAGGTCTCAAATGTAGAATGGTGTGGCTAACAAGGGACGCCACTGAAGCCAAGCACCGTCCTTTGAGCCAAAAATCCACCTAAACCTGGGCTTGTGATGACCAAGRACTCCTTCGTCTTCCACAGCGGCAGGCACTCATTCAAGCCTCAAAACAACCTGAACATGATGGACTTTGCACTTACCATCACCACCCACGACCACGGGTGTCCAGAAGAGGAGGTTGGTGGTGGTGCAGAGATCAAAAACTAAGTCATTTTGTCTCTGCATCCTGAGAGCCGGTGATTGGACATTGCAATGTTGGGTGTGTTTTTTTAAAAAAAAATGAAACAAAAATATGTAAACGATTGAGTCCAAATAGCCCAAAAAGAAATACAAATGGGATGTTTGGGTCCTTGCCAATCTTTGAGCTTCCCAGCAGGTCTGTTTGGGGCCCTTGATTTTCACCACGTACGCTCTTGACGATGTGATTTGTGTCCCTCTGATATGAGCTGGTCTGCTCTCCAGCTTCCTTACCTTCTTCTCCCTGGTGAAGGTAACACACGTACAATAAAGCTCATCCTGAGTCTGATTCTGACTTGACACGTGCTCGTTCCTTTCTACCTCCCATTGCCTGGTGTCCCTGTGGTCATCATTTTATTCCACTTGGGAGGGAAATCCAAGTGGGAATAAAAAATAGATCTCACGGGGACAACAGAAGAGCCTTCCTCCAGGTGCCCTGGATCACCCCACCAGGTGCCCTGACCACCCACCAGAGCCTTCCTCCAGGTCCCTGACCACCCCACCAGGTGCCTTCCTCCAGGTCCTTGGCCACCCCACCAGGTGCCTTCCTCCAGGTCCCTGGCCACCCCACCAGGTGCCTTCCTCCAGGTCCCTGGCCACCCCACTCACCACCTCTTCAAGACTCACCCATGAGGAAGCTCAGCAGGAGGCTGGGACCAGCCACCCTCAACCCAGACCCAGGGTTACTTCCTCGACAACATCTTCCCTCTCTGAGTCTTGATTTTCGGAGGAAAGGGCTGACATGGGAAGGAGGGAAATGGCGGACAAGAGGCATCCCAAATCCACCCACACACCTACGTGCACAGCATCAGTGTGAGAGGGAAGAACTAAACCTGTCTCTGGGAGGACTGGCTTGAGGACCAAAATTGTCTGCCCTGCCATCTGGCCAGCTTTCAGAAAAGCCAGAAGGGCCTAGGTCACCTGGCTGTACGCTGTCACTCTTCTGCCTGGGGAGGAAGCCTAGGCTGTGACCTCAGGTGGTGGAAAAGGGCTGACAAGTTCAGGCCTGACCTGGAAGAGCCARACATCTGCCTGCTCAGCAGTGTCCAGAGGTGTGACCTGGGCCCAGAGGAAGGGCCAGCCACCTGAGGGGTGAAGGGGCTCCTGGTCCATCCCCTGGCCACACTCCCGACCCAGTCCAGGTGAGGAGAAGCTGCAGGTCAGCCTCTCCCTGGAGGCTCCCGAAGCCCACGTCTCAGACGTCTGGCTGAACTGAGGACCTGTCAGCTCTGAGTCAGACTGGCCTCCCCATCTTAGAGATTATTCTAGAATAAGACAGAACTGTGGCATTCTGTGGGGGAAGGTTTCAAAAGGCAGCACAGAGCATCCCACACTCACTGAGTCTGCGGGTGGCCGGGCCAGGCCCTGAGCTCTGGGGACATCCTCTCAGGGACTCCGAACAGCGGCTTCAGGGAGTTCCGCTGGTCTGGTTCAGGGGTTGGACTGGCCTCATAAAGCCAGGGAGTGATGAAACCACGTTGCTATGACTCCTCAACAGAGCCCTTCCTTGCCTGACCAAAGTGCCCATGACACACAGAAGCCATTCACAGTCACTGTCTCCTCATTGGCTCATTCTTCCACCCCACAAGTTCCCGGATCACTCGCCAAATGCCAGGCMCGGTTCCAGGTGCTGGAGATGGTGAACCAGGGGGCCGGCATCCCTGTGCAGAGCCGAAAGCTCTGTTTTCTGCAGGCCACACCTTTCCTCAAATCTCCGGGATATCTCAAATCCCTGAGTCCTTCTTCTCTGGCCTCCCTGGCTGGTGGGAACTGGTTTTTCCATTCATTTTCCAACCTCTGAATAAGCCTGTGGCTCTCCAGGACCTGGCTGCTCCCAAGGTGCAGCTACTCCTCGGGGGCCCAGCTACTCCACAGGATCAAGACCTGCAGAGAGACTCTCCTATCAGTGAAGCTGCTGATGGGGCTAAGGGAGGCTCATAGACCCAGTCTCTAGCTTAGCTCAAGCCCCCAAAATGTCTTTGTTCTCTGACACTAAAGACAGATTGGAGCCCAAGATCTCACAACCACCGTGGAGAGAAGTGTAGATGACGGGCAGGGAGAGTCTGGCCGTACCAGACAGAGGAGCAAACTGGTGATTACGGAGGAGGCCTCAGCAGATGGAAGGGGACGGCAGATAGGAGAACCGACTCCAAGCGGCCAGCTGTCCTGGGAACTCCCCCACCTCCCTGCGCTCACAGAGCTCCGACCCAGCCCCTGCCCAGACTGCGGCTGCGGGGGTCTGGACCCTAATGACATGGACTCAGACCTCAGCTACAAAGTCCAGAGGCCACCGGTGACAGCTGGAGCCCTTAAGGGGGAAGGAGCATTACCAGGAGAGTCCCAGATGTCACAGGTTCTAGCTGACAGCTGATCCAGTATGTGATCAATAGCAGACCGTGGGCTCCGCGAACCGAGAGAGAGAAATCCAGACGGACACAAGTTCAAAGGAGGGCGACATGGATTCACCCATCCATTCCACAGGTGTCTATGAAGAACCCCCCAGGCCACGGCACCCTGCCCTCTCTAGAGCCCCGTGACAGCATGGGAGGGGCCCACAAGTAGCACAATGGCCTGAAAGATCTCCATCTCAGAAACAGCTGAAATATTATTTAGTCTGAAGAAGAAAATATCCTAGGGAGCATGAGAGTTGTCCTCAAATATTTCTAGTGCCTTTTATTTCTGTGACGTGCCAAAGGACAATGTTTTAGTCAGCTGTTTCACTTCGGTGACTAAGAGACCTGACCAGAACAATGGTAGAGGAGGGAAAGTGTATTGGGGGGCCCACAGTTTCCGAGGTCCATACCTCGAGGCTGGAGGTGAGGCTGAACATCATGGCAGGGAAGCAGCTCCGATGAGGATCAGGAAGCAGGGAGAGACTCCACTTGCCAGGGCGAGAAGACATACCCCAAGGCCACACCCCCAGTGACCACCCCTCCAGCCCACCCTACCCGCCTTCAGTTACCACTCAGTTAATCCCATTAGGGGTTAACTCTCTGATTGGTTCCGTCTTTCGTAACCCAATCATCTCTCCTCTAAACCTTCTTCACCTTCTTGCTTTGTCTCTCACATGAGCTCTTGGGGAACTCCTCCATCAAACCATAACAGAATTGGGACCCATGGGCAGATGTTATCAATTTTGGTTCAGTTTAAGAATTTCCTTATAAATGAGACCCGTTTGATGGTGGCAGGGGCTGCTTATAGAAGCAGTATCCCATGAACTGGAGTGTCCCCAAAGTCAGGACACAGAAGCTTTATAGGCTTCTAGAATAGTCCTGGGAAGCTCTTGGAGGGCCCAAATTTAAGACCATGTGACCAACAACTTGAAGGACAAGTCAGTGATGGGAAGTAACTCCCCCAGTTTGGAGCTTTCCTAATATGTTTGGGGAACCACCAATGTTTCAGCCTTAAACAGCACCTTAGGTTAATTCCTCACTGCCTTCCAAGACCAGTCTTCTCAGCGGGCATCCATCTTAGCCTCTTTACCCTTTATTTCTGTTTCTTTGTCATCTGGGTCTCCTTCCTCCTCTGTGCCCAAGGGACCCACCTCTTTTTCCACCCAACAACCCACTTCAGCCTCCTTCAGCCTGTCTTGTGTCTGTGAACCCACAGGTTTCAGAGTTGCCTCCTCCAGAGAGCCTTCCATGATGTCCAGCCCATTTCCTAGGTATACAGGAAGGCAGGTCCCTGTGCCTGTCACTTAGGCTCCATGCACCTGCTCTATTCCTGGAGGTTTATGCCCCCTCTTAAACTGCCTATGTGTGGATGACAAGGACAAAGGAAAATTCTAATCTGTGGAGTCACCTGGTCCACCATGCGTCCACTGCACTGGTTTCATTAATGAGGTTCTTGGCATAAAAGTTAGCTAGTGAGATCGAAATAAACACACAGACTCAGTTACCTTTTTCTATCACCAGGTCTGAGACAGCTCCCCCTCTGGCTCCCACCTCTAACCGCCCAGCAGGGCAGCAAGGATTACTCAGGGCTRGCAGGAGAGAGAGAGAGAGCACGCCAGGGAGTAGCCTTTTATTGGGGAACAAGAAATTCAGGGGAGAATTCCATCCAATGAAGGTTGAGGGGGGCCGCACTCCAAGSTCAGGGTCAGTGATTGGCCCCAGGGTCAGTGGTCAGTCACACCCCCACACGGACGGGTTCTCTCATCAGGAGAGGGTCGGGAAAGCTCTGACACAGCCAGAGCGCCTCAGACCCAAACCGGGAGTCGCCGAGTCACGTGTGAGAATGGCTCTCCACAACCTGGGAACCTCTCTTATTAATAAGGCAACCAACTCATCTCGTTTTGTCTGGGGCTGTCCCAATTTTCACACTGAAATTCCTGCATCCTAGGGACCCACTCACCCCGACAAGCTGAGATGACTGGTTGCCCTAATCACATGCCTGTGTGCGAGACATGATGCTGGAGACAGAGGGAAAGCGGGCCAAGCTCCCTCTGCTGGAAGATTTTATAGCCCCAGCAACTGTTCTGTAACATTGCCGTCCCAGAGGGG